GATACTGCAGAGTGGCGTCGAACGAGGCTTCGATCGGATCAACGATCCGGACAAAGAAGTTTTCGGTCCTGTGGCTATTCTCACCCTTGAAGGTTACCTCAAGGCAATCATCGTTGTACTTGAGCTTGTGAAGCGAAATGAGCTTGCTCTTGAACTCGGTGGCGAGGATCGCTTTCGGATCCTCCTCGCGCAGCTTGTCCATAGCGAGCTGGATGATGATGGCTAGCTTTCGTCCCGAGACATCTGTCTTCAGTGCCTTGTTTTTGATCCTGGTCTTCGGATCGACCTGCCGCTGAGCGCCCTTGTTGGGGCGAACTTTGTGTACCTCGAGGTTGTAAGCGTACACAACCTTTGGCTTGACGCCCATCTCGAAGTAGTTCGCCCAGAGCACCACCTTGTTTCCCTTGTTTCCGTATGCAGGACGGAGGGGGAACAGCAAATCAGCCTCACCGGACATTTTGAGCTTGCTCATCTTTATGCTCAGGCCCTGAGACTGATAAGCGGCCACGAGCTTGTTTTCCAAAGCCGTAACTGTGGCGCTAGGTTCTGGGATGGCCTGGTCTTGCCTGAAGTATTGTCAGTATTGGTTACTACGCATGTGAAATGGGACATGAGAAGAGAGACAAACCCAAAGACGCGATGAGGCTCGCCTTCGAACGGCTCGGCGCGAGGGGCGAATCCGCCGCGGCCTCCACGCCCTCGAAAGCCGCCACCACCACGATCGCCTCGGTAGCCACCTCCACCACCGCCGCCGCGGTCGCCATACGTGCTGCCTCCTCCACGATCTCCACGGTAACTTCCCCGGCCTCCACGGTCACCACCATACCCACCGCGGCCGCCCCCAAAGGCGCTGCCGCGACCTCGATCTCCCCCGCGCCCACGATCCCCTCCGCGTCCACGATCCACTCCGCGCCCACGATCCACTCCGCGCCCACGATCTCCACTACGGCCTCGGTCTCCGCCTCGGTCTCCCCCGCGGCCTCCGCCGCGACCGCCCCGTGAATGATCAGCCATGGTGCAAAATGGTGAGCGACAGGTTTGGGGAAGATGTTCGAGTTCAAGTTCAGCAACGTAGAATTAGCAGGTCAGGATGAATGGGAGGCGAATATAGAGGCTTCCAAGCTTTAGTGATAGTGTGATGTGAGTTTATTGAGTAATGGGCGGGTGTCGCTCGAAGAATTAGATATCCGAGGCGTGGTGAGAGTTTTTGAATGTCGTGTTGAAGGCGTTCCGTTTGCCGGACTGCCCAATCCTCCTGCCTAGGCCAACAAAATCCTTGCGCAAAGGGCTACCAAACGCAAAGATACTCTCGGTTCGAAGGGAACTCCCTTTGATTAGGCTACCTGTAGAAGTGCGTTTATTGAAGCATGAAGCTCGCGGACGGGGTTTGCGTCAAGAAGAGCAAGCCTCGGTTTGCCATGGGTCCAATGGATGCAAGCTTCCAAGGGGTAGTCGTTGGTGCACTTGTTAGCATGCGATAGTAGGAAGTGGGTTGTGAGGTGAGACAGAGAAACACTCCGGAGACTTTTTTTTTTGTCTTTGAAAAGACGAGACTGATCACAGGTACTGAGCCAAATGTTCGATGATGCCCTGCTCCGATCGACAGGTGTGTGAGAATCCAAACTGGAAGACGAGGTAGCTGAGCTGAGGCACCTGGGCACGCACCACACCCCTGGTGGACCATCTAGGCGGGAGGCCCACTAGTGGGTATTTCCACTTTGTCCCCCGCCCGCCTTCTGCCGAGCCTCAACATGAATGGCTGGCCAGAGAACATCAAGACAAGGAGGTCATGTCTGGGGTTGGCTGGCCTCCTTTGACATCCCCAGGTGTCAATTCACGCCAGACAATGAATGTCAAGCATGCGGCTTACCATGTAGGTGGTGTAGCGTCATCGACCAGTCGGGATCGTAGCCGTCTGGGGGCGAGAGGCGCGGCGACACAAGTCTCCCCATACGTCCCGACGTGATAGCACGCTACAGTGACAATCCGTCTGCATTGGCTACCGTCATGACTCCAGGATGATGGTCCGAGGGATGTGCCGCAACTTGAGAAGTCGTGCAAATTGCTGGGTGCGGACAATTCCATTGATACAGAACTGGATTTGCCCTTGAAGCGACGCATCGCCGTGATGGAAGGAAATCAGGTTCTTTAGAATTGATGGTAAGCTGGCCGTTGGTTTGTTCTTTCTTGCTGGAGATCCAATGTTGTGTCGGCAAGACAGCTTGTGGGTGAGCTCCATCCAAGAAAGGCACACCGCTCCGCTAGCTACCTGGAGCATGTGTGGATGGATGAGCTGTCACAACGCTATTTGCAGCTCTCAATCATTGCCGTGACGCTGGTCCAACCGACAATTGCAAGGGTAGCTTTCGCCACTGGATTGATGCAGCTACCCAACTGGAATGGTGGGATGCCCGGATTGGCCAGTCACCAAATCAAGAAGAAACCATGAGGGAGTCGTGACCGATATCTCGGGGTAGCACGCAGGACGCTGTCCCCTGCAATTCTGCGTAGGTAGAAGCCAAACTTCGACAGTGGTGGTGGGGTGGCCTGCTCCCTACTTGATCAAATGTCCTGCCGTGGCGATGGCTAGAATATCCTTCTCGAGCCCTCCAATGTGAACGAACTCAATGCCTGCGGCTTGGAGAGCGCCTCGGCCAGTGTTGTCACTGACGAATTTCTCTGGCTCCTGCACGCCGACGTAGACGGCCGTGATGAGGTGCTTCAGGCGGAGAATGCGTTTCACGCAGGGCAGGTTGCCACTGAGCCGCTCCGAGCAAGGTTCCATCGTCGCGTATAGGATCAAGGGTGGTGACTGGACGGCCGTGGCGAGCTCCTCTTCCGTCACACTGTGGGCGGCCGCAAACTTCATGAAGCAGCACTGCTCGGCATGTGTGTTGCCTTCGAGTTCCAGCGTGTAGCCGGTGGAGACGATGGCGTTGGTATTGGGGTTGACGAGAACCGCGCCTACACTGTAGTTTGTCGATTTCGGAGGCGATCGGGCCGCTAGAGACAGAGCGTACTGGAGATACGCCTTGTGATCACCAGGATTGATTGACGGCGCTGGCTCGGTGTCTGTCATTGAAGCCATGGTTACAACTGTGAAGTTGCAGGCGCGATTGAGAATCAGCGATTGTCGATCGACCTTGTCCTGAGTACCAAGAAAAAGCCGGTGTCCTTCTTGGCGAGCTTCGTCTCTGTCAGTGGGTAGTCAGTCATACACCGGATTCGCCTTGCCACTCTGCCTGAGATGCAGATGTGAAAAGGCAGACTGGTCAGGGAGGGGTAGAGTGATGGAGCTCCTCTTGCGGGGCTATTACTCCAGCTGCCACCGGCACTGCAAGCGCCGATTGCCGACTTGACCCCCACTTGGAGCTCACCTAGCCTGCCACTTTATGCGGACGCGTCGAAACGCGTTCATGGCTGATGCTCTGCCCACTCAACGCACCAAGAACGACCACACATTCATCAAACACTCAACAGATCGACAATGTCTTCCTCCGACGATCTGATTGATGGCGAGCCGCCAGTCATTGACCCTTACGAGACGCTTGGTCTCGAGCGGGAGGCTACTGCCGACCAGGTGAAGTCGGCCTACCGCAAAGCAGCGTTGAAGAACCACCCAGGTAGGCAGCAAAGCTCCATGCCCAGCCTCAAGCTGTGTGCACGCGTTAACTTGAACCAAACAGACAAGGTCCCCGAAGACAAAAAGTCTGAGGCCAACGAAAAGTTCCAGTCCATCGCCTTCGCCTATGCCATCCTATCCGACCCTGCGCGCCGCAAGCGCTACGACGCGACCGGCTCGACGTCCGAATCCATCGTGGACGCCGATGGCTTCAACTGGTCCGACTTCTACCGTGAGCAGTTCCGCGATTCCATCTCGGCAGATGCCATCGAGAAGTTTGCCGCCAAGTACAAGGGCTCCGACGAGGAGAAGGATGACGTGCTCGTGGCGTACGAGGAGCACAAGGGCAAGATGGACCAAATTTACGAGTCAGTCATGCTGAGCGACGTGCTCGAGGACGATGAGCGTTTCCGCTCCATAATCGATGCGTCTATCAAGGCGGGAGATGTACCATCCTTTACGGCCTACACGAAGGAGAGCGCCAAGTCCAAAACGGCACGGGTCAAGGCCGCGAAAGCAGAGGGACAGGAGGCCGAGGAATACGCAAAGGAGCTGGGCGTACACGACAAGCTGTTTGGCAACAAGAAGAAGGGCAAGAAAAACAAGAAGGACGATGAGATGGATCTGGCTGCGTTGATCCAGCAGAATCAGGCGAAGCGGGCCAACTTTCTCCAAGACCTCGAGGCCAAGTACGCAGCGCCGAGCAAGACGAAGACAGGCAAGAAGAGGGTTGTTGAGGAGGAGCCCTCGGAGGAGGCTTTTCAGGCGGCGGCTGCGAGGCTCAAGAAAGCCAAGGCCTCTGAGTCAAGTCGGCCAACAAGGAGCTCCAAGAGATGAGCGTAAGCTGGTAGGGAAGTCAATCGGCGCATGGGATGATGGTACTTTGGGTTGGCTTTTCACGATGTGTAGCTCATGGATTATGTGGCGTTGGGCCTAGGCTATACCAAGACAGATCATATTCTGAATGAATTCAATGTTACAGAGCTTTGCTCAAGTGATTGCATTGATGCTTTGCCACTCGCTCAGACTGACTGCGGCTTCAGGGTGAAATTTGGTGAGCTGGGCCGATTGTCGCTGGGTCAACGGGTCCCTCTGTGCTACCTACCCCAACCTGCGACTGCGTCACCAGGGCGCACCATGCGACTCCACATTGGTTTAAAGTGCTCGCATGCATCTGCTATCGACGCGTCTCAATTTGGACCGCGTCAAACGAGACACGATAAGGTGTCCTACCTTCAGCGCCTGCGACATCTCTCCATAATCCTCAAAGCGCAGTTTGCCGACCATGCCATGACCAGCGCATCCACTGACCTGTACCCTCAATACTGCTTCCACCTCTCCCCCACGTTCGATCAATGGTGCCTGCTCACCGCGGCGACCATTCACGCCCTCGACACGCACCGCGAGTATGAAGGTAGGCGTCTCCATCCACCTTCATCTTCCCGGGCGGCAAACACTAACAAGGCTCACGCAGGCCAAGGTCTGTTCTTCCACCGCAATCTTCCCGTGAAATGGGTACGCCTCGTCGGCGTGGTAGTCGCCATCGATGATGTCTACAACCGTCGCATCTTCACCATTGACGACAGCAGCGGCGCCTGCATCGAGTGTAATGTTGCCGTCAAAGTCATCCCTGCCGTACTTCCGGCCTTTGGGGACAAGGATCCGCTAGCGTATGCGCCTCGACGACTCGAATTTCTGCAGCAGGGTTGCGATGATGTTGATGTCGGCGCCGTGGTAGACATCAAGGGGAGCGTGGCGCTGTTTCGCGATGAGAAGACGGTCAAGATACAAAAGGTCAAGATGGTAAGGTCCACGGCCCAAGAGGTTGCGCTCTGGGAGAAGAGGGATAATTCAAGCGCGATGTGCTGGGGGTGCCCTGGGTGGTGGGTGAGAAGCAGATGCGACGGTGTCGGCGGGAGGCCGAGGGGCGAAAGAGGAAAGAGAAGCGCGAGGAAAAGGACAGACAGCGACGTGAGGCGGAGAACGGTGAGCCGGTTACAGGGCTGGAGAGGGCCAGTGGTGCAAGGCTGACAAGCACGTACATCGCTGACGATGAGGTGCCCGAGGCTCAAGACCGGGCTGTCACCGGCCTTGAAAAAAAATCAGGGAGGAAGGTGGTGAGTGCTGGAGCATCTGCTGATGAAAGCCGCGGCGACGATGGCGCAACTGGCGAAATATCTAGGAGGTCCGGGAAGTCAAGACCTGCCACATTTGTCACGGCGTTGTCTCAAGGCCTCGAAAGCTCACAATCAAAACGTCACCACAAGAATGTCGGTGTTCGTCACGACAATAAGCGGCATATGAACGAAGGTTCTGGCTTGGCGATGTCGACAAGGACCTCCGGACCCAGTGTTGACCTTCAAGTCAGGCCGAGAGCCGAGGGCCTGGAGCGCTCACAGCCGACGTTGTGGCTCGCTGAAGAGAATCCAGCGAGATCTGAGCAGCCAGCGAGAAATCAGACGCAAGGGCTTGAGGGGTCAAGACCGCCTGCCAGACAGCGCTCGGTGGCATTTATGGAAGAGGGCTGTGGAAGAAGGAATACTCCAACATACGCTGATCAATCCACCAAGTCAACCGGACAGCACCCGAAGATGGGACAGGCAGAAGGTCTGGAAAGGTCACGTAGAGCTACCCATTACAGGCCAGACGACGTGGGTGAGGGACGCCCACGACACCTCTCTGTCGAGCCGAACGTACTCGGGCAACGAAAAAAGAAGTTGGGCCCATGAGGCTAGCACAGACGGTTCTGAGACGTACAATTGGTACAGACCGTCTATTTATGAATATCAATGGGGCATGGTCGTTTCGGCATGGGATTTTGATTTTACCAACATGGGCCTATATGTATCGCGGATGGCGCTGGCGCTCCTCATGAGACTGAATATCAGTTAGCTTCGTTTTGGTGAACAGCAATCATCTCGTGCTTTGTGATCTCCGGTCATTCGACTGAACACCCACATGATGCACCTGGCCGTGCAACAACAGCCTTGGTAACGACAACTGGAATGCTTCACCAACCAGCCAAGAAGCCTGGCTCGTGGCTTTGGCGGCCTGCCCCCTCCACCGTCGCAATTTACGCTTGGCATATTCCACGGACCTCACCTCACAACCTGCCATGCATCTCAATCAGACGACAATGGTCCAGTCAATTTGATTGAGCACAGGGGTTCGAAGTAGTTTTTTGTCTTATTTGAGTATTATGGATGTGGCAGCATGTTGACGAGTGAGTAGAATGGACCCACGCCAAGGGCAACGCGTCAGTGGTGAGGGGCTACCGGCGGCTTGACCCTGTCGTGTGTGTGTCATCCGTACCTTCCCAGGCCGTTGAGTTCGTCTTCCAAGTCTCAAATCGCCAAAATCAAGAGGAGCACGCGGCCCTTGCCACATGCCTCTGAGACCAAAAGGACCCTTTACTTCTTGTCTCAGGCTGCACTTCCCCGAAACGCCAAAACTAGCTACATTGGTGTCGTCTCTTTTCCCCGTCAATTGCTTGTGACGTCGTTTTTTCTCGCTCTGGAAATTGCTCAGCAACTTGCCGACCAGGCGAACCAGCAGCTAGCTTCGCCAAACCTCGAATCATATGCTCCTCATTCCTTAGTATCCTTGCATATACCGCTCGATATCGCACGCCTCCTTACGGCAGACTACGCACCAGTATCCGCCACGCCTGGTCTGGCATTCCTCCAAGAGTAAGCCCAGTCTATTGTGAATGAGACACACATTCCAGCTGCCCACGTTGCGCGGTAACCCACTGGAGCCGAGAGATCGCAGAATTCGCCTCGGACTGCACGGAGTCATCTTCCCGGAGAAGCAAAGCAGCTGGTGCTGTATGGCGGGTCGACATGTTGCGGTTATATCAATGGCGAACTACCGCCATCCCATCTATCACTCGGAAAGCCTCTACCAGCTGCTCGCCTCTACGTTTGGCTCGCTATCCCAATCAAATCTTGAAAACCTGCACCCCAACACGAACCACATCTGCTCCCGAAGGACTGACTGATACTTCTTGACCATGGCCCCCGCCCCCGCCCGAATGGGCTTGAACCTCGTGAGTTGGCTGGTGAAGCTGACTGTTCTGCAGGTATCTCTTCGGGGCAACGCTATTGGCGATTTACATCATCACCACCAGCATCGGCAGAACGCCCGCCAAGACTTTTCCCCGGGAACAGCTCTCCAACTCTTCGAGCCTCGGGTAGCTCCAATCGACGACAGCTTACTCGCAGCCTGCGCAACAGAGACAGTTCTCTTCACACTGACCCTCCTTGCCCCGCGCACTACATCTAGTACACATGCGGACGGGACATATTCCGCTTCGTCGGTCCCAATATTCGCCCCCAACGAGACGGTTCCGGTGACGACTCGTGTTGTTCAGACAGGAGTCGCTCAGATCCCGGCTACACTGTCTGACAAGAGGCCTGAAACCACAGGTGTTGTTGACTCGGGGCTTGACCTGAAAGGCAAAGTCACATCTATTCCCATTATCCAGGCACCCATTACAACACCAACATCGCTCATTCGAACCGTCTCCAACTCTACGACAACGTCGGTCATTGTGGATAAACCCATCTCTACAGTCACCATGCCTTCAGGAGACATATTCGCGGACCCCATCGCCACGGCGGCGCCCCCTTCTCAATTCCAGATTCGCAATGACCACCCGGTTGAAAAGAAGGGCGTCAACTCCACAACTCCACTGCAGACGAACAAGTTCTTTGGAAACTTCCTGGTTGGGAGTCAGAGCGCTCCAGCTTTTACTCACCCCTACTCTGTCGCTTGGGCGGCGGGCAAGGGGGCAGCAGGTAGCTGGGGTATGGCCATCTCCCACATTGAAGCGAGCCAGCGAGTGTTTGGCAAAGCTAGACCTGGATCAGGAGGAGAAGCTTCATATTTCATCAACCCGATCGGTATCCAGTCTCTGATTGTTAGCTCCAAAGATCTTGGTAAAGACACAGTAATCGCAACAGACAGCATCACTGCTTTCTCGGCCCGGGTCCACTTGCGGCCCAATGCGACAGCCGTGCCGGCTGTATCTTTCCCGCTGGTTCAAGGCATGGCCTTTATCACCGCTCAATTTGCGGGCGCGATACCCGTCATCCAGAGTGGCGTTTTCTTCCGAAACGTCACGAAGGTGACTGTTGACCCCAAACCTGGTGTTGCCAAATTCAACTTTCATCTGGAAGACGGCAGAACCTGGAGAATCTATGCCTACGCGACCAAGGGAGACCCGTTGGAGCTACAGGTCATCAACAACGGCTATGCGGAGGCCAAAAGCCCCTTCTACGGTATAATTCAGGTGGCTAAGGACCCTGGCAATGCCGAGGCTCTGTACGATGAAGCGGCTGGTGTTTTCCCTACAACCGTCGTGTTGTCAGGGTCAACCCATAACAAAGCCGGTTCATACACCTTCAAGTTCGCCAAGGACGGTCATCAACAAGGCAAGCTTGTCATGTATGCTCTGCCCCATCACGTCGAGTCCTTTGACGACAACACGCGAGCAGCAGTTAGTGAGGTGAAGTTGCAGACCACAACCAAAGGCATTGCAACTGCCGTCATGGCGGATGAGTGGACCCATGGTCCGAGCAAAATCCTGCCCTTGGACATGACTTTTGCTCCGTGGGACCCCGAGAAAGGGCACCATGACGAAAATGTCGGACGAAGCGAGGGCTTTGATTCGCGGGATCGCAGTCCAGGAGGCTTCTCAGAACATGGCCGCTCAGTCTGACCTGGATTCGATGTATTTTAGTGGAAAGGTGAGTTCAAGATTCGGATTATGATTGAACCAGAGCTCATGCGATCATAGGCACTCGCAAAGTTCGCCATCATGCTCACGGTTATCAACGACCTCCTCGACGACAAGAAACTTGCAGAACCGGCGCTAGGGAAACTCAAGCAGGCATTCGCACGCTTTGCCGCCAACAAGCAAAAGTTTCCCCTGGTATATGAGCGTGAGTACTGCCAAATCCCATGATCATGCTGCAAAACTGACATGTCTAGGATCATGGGGTGGTCTGGTCTCGTCTGCTTCCTATGTCACCGGAAACAGTGGCGCAGATTTCGGCAACACGTACTATAATGACCACCACTTCCATTACGCATACCACGTCTTGGCCGCCGCCGTCATCGGTCATCTGGACCCCAGCTGGATCCCCGAAAACAAGGCGTACGTCAACGTGTTGGTTCGCGACTTTGCGAACCCGAGTGTCCACGACATGTACTTCCCGCAATCAAGGTCTTTCGACTGGTTCCACGGTCATTCCTGGGCTCAGGGTCTTTTTGAGTCCTATGACGGTAAAGACCAAGAGTCAAGCTCTGAGGACATGATGCAGGCATACGCCATCAAGATGTGGGGTACAGTGTCGGGCGACGCCAAAATGGCTGCCAGAGGAAACCTCATGCTCTCCGTCCAGGCGCGTTCGCTGCAGCACTACTACCTCTATACGAAGGACAACAAGGTCCAGCCGGCCCAGTTTATTGGAAACAAGGTCGCGGGCATTCTGTTCGAGAACAAGATCGATCACACGACCTACTTTGGCGCCAACATTGAGTTCATACAAGGCATCCACATGATCCCTCTCCTCCCCTCGTCGCCGCTCGTCCGAACGCGTCAGTTTGTCCAGGAAGAATGGGACGTGTACTTTAGCAACGGTCGGGCGCAGGATATCCAGGGCGGGTGGAAGGGCATCATCTTTGGCAACCTGGCCACACTCAACCCGAAGGCGGCGTGGGACTTTTTCAACTCGACCAACTTTGATCCTAGCTGGATCGATGGCGGTGCGAGCTTGACATGGTATCTCGCCTACTCTGCCGGTAAGTTTCCCGAGCTCGACCCTGTCCCTATGATTCGTAAGTGCTAACAATTATAGTCCTGGGCGGGCGTCTGATGCTGTGCGACGTTTGGATGAGAGCGAGACAAGGTATACAGAGAATGGCGCTCTTGCTTTCGAAGAGGAGACTGAACAGTAATGACA